AGCTCGTATATTTTATTGACTTTCTCCCCAGTATACCCTGCTGATGAAGCAATGCTCTGTGGTTTCTCGCTGAGATCCAAGACTGCAAGACTGACTCCAAATGATCCCGGATATCATATTTCATTGGATTTTGATTGAGGGTCCTGGGACTTGTTTCCAAACTAAATATTGGCAACCCAAAACACACGAAAGACCATGAAGGTATCACGGCTCTATAGCACACATGCATTCCCTGGACTTCAGAATGATTGGAGCATTGCGTCAGGTGGAAAAGAGAAAGGAAGAATTGAGAACGTTACCACAGTTTTGGCAGGTACACCCTAAAAATCTGGATTTAAAATCACTAGTCTAGGATCTGGCAACCCAGTGTATGTGTTCTTCAGAAAATCCCTTTATTTCCAGGATGTTTTGTAGGGCACTGGGACACCATGTGACTGGGAACATCTGGATGATGAACAACATGCTAATAGAAAACAGACGTAAATCATCAGATTTCTCTTTGTGCGCTTGACAGGAACTCTGCGAGGTCAAAAGATCACGTTTTTTTGAGGGGAGAATGCACAAAACATCATAGTCCAGTTTGCTGATGATTATAAAAAGCCCTTAAAATATATTTTACAACTTGTCAGACACGGGGTGGTTACTCTCAGTAAAATGCTGTTCACTTTGTGGAGTTTCAAGAAAAACCTTTTCCGTTTCCGTTTTGTTTTCTTTCCTATCCTTAAGGCATCATACCGGCAGTGTTTCAACAGCTGTAACCAACTAACTTATTTAGTGTGCCAAAACAAATCTGTAAAACCACACTGGGGCTTTGATCCAAATCTTAGTGAGCTCCCTACATAGTCAGTATTTTAGGGCATCATAGGCACGTTCATCATTTAGCCAAATCTTAATGCAGCATCATTAGCACTGTATACCAATCCCAGTATGCATTGCGGTGAATTTGATAGAAATGTTGATTTGTATATATGCACTTCTAGAGTATTACTTTATCTAAGTGACATGCTAAGGCTCAACTAGGGCTGGAGGATAAAAGTATTATCACAAGATTTATTCAATCATTCAGTATCGATATTTTTCATGATATTAATTGTATACGTTAATGGGAAGGAAATGCATTCCACGTGTGTGAAGACCTCGAGAATTAATAACATAACTTGTCTGTTAACAATTAAACTCCACAGAATTTTCCTTCTTTTATGATTCTGTGTTTTTGAATGAATTCAAATTTATCATAAAAATGGTGTGTAATAAAATCAACTAACAAACTTTAATTAACCATTTTAATATTCTTTTAAAGTGTAATCTAATTAGAATACCAAATAATTTACCAAAAATATATAATTTTATTGTTTATGTAAGGTGCTGCACAACAGAACTACTTGTAAATTATAATTTGTAATTTAAAAATAAAACATGGATGAGAAACATATTGGTTGTATGACATTAATAATAATAATAATATATTTTATTTATATTATTATAATTATATATTTTATTTATATTATATATATATATATTATTGAAGTACATTTTATGTATTTCTGAATAATGAACTTTTCTTTTGGCGGTTTAACTTCAATATTTGTAGTAGATGAATCTGCGACACTCATTCACACAAGCAGATAATTTAGACTAGCGACACATACCTGATCTTCTAGATGTAGGCTAAATATTTACAATTACTCAAGTTGATTATTTTTGATAAATATCAATATTTATTAATTGCCTAGCCCTATAGTCTAAACCCTATTAATATCAGTTGTGTATTGAGACTCAACAGAAGCACTTTTTTTCAGTCTTTCGATTTATGTATAGAGTTAGACAATCAACACTTTATTATGTTAAAGTTTATTATCTGGTAAAGTATATTATAGTTTCAGTTATGGTTTTGTCTTAAAGGGCAGCTGCCTATGTAGTGAGCAAGGCAGTTGACTAAGTTTTTGAGACTCTGTGTCACAGACAAACACCGCTGTCTGTGTTGAACACTAATCCTGTGACAGGTAGAGTGTGTGTTTGGTGTTGTCAGGGTTTGTGAGAGCCGCTAACAGGCCCGAGCACAGCGTGACTGTTGTTTCTGTGCATGAATGAGAGAGTTTGCTCTAACGGTGTTTTTCTCCAGTGAGCACAGCTGTCAAACAGTCAGTTTAACCGCTGCACAAGAAAACAAGTGTGCAGATGAGCGGCCTGCTCAACGCTCCAAACATCTCCTGCAGGACGTCCCAACACTTCTGTATGCTTATTGCAACCTGTCAAGTCCAACATCACACGATCACATCTATGTTCATATTTAGCGTCAAACCCATGTGTTACTGTAACGTTTAAAAATGCAGTCGATTTAGCAATCTGTCACATGCAGAAAGGTGTGTAGATGAGAAATTACAGCAATGAGGTTTTATTTTAGCACATTCACACTTAAATTATGGCAACAGAAATGTGGGAGACTTTTATTGATGTTTCTACAAAATAAACATTTAGTGTTTGTTTTTCGAAAAAAAAAAACATTCGAATAAATTCTAAGCTTTGAACAAAACCAAGTGAGTTGAATCAAAGTATTGCAATATGATAATCAATGTACTTGAACAATGTATATGTTGATCGATGTATATATCAACAAAAAAGACAAAGGTACAAGACTTATTTAAGTAGTGTACTTTAAGTTTTCTCTCTGAAATTTTGGCAAATAAACACAATTTTTACAGCGAGGTTGAACACTGTACTACTGTTCAAAAGTTTGGGGAGCGCTGAAAATATTTTTTAATGTTTATGAAAAAAAGTATCTTCTGCTCACCAAGGCTGCAATCATTTGATCAAAATACAGAAAAAAATGTAATATTGTGAAATATTACAATTTAAAATAACTATTTTCTATCTGAATATATTGTCATGTGTAATTTATTGCAGTGATCAAAGCTGAATTTTCAGCATCATTACTCCAGTCTTCAGTAGCTATGTTTCCATGCAAAGTTACGAATTAAACTTGAGCGCAAAATTGGAATATCGCATAAAACATTTGTGAATAAAGCTCCGTTTCCATCCAGGGGAAAAAAATCGTCACTTCCTGATTAACTTGTGCTATATATCACAAAGAAAAACTACATTTGCTGCAGTAGGAGAAGGCACTGAATATAATAATTTGTGTATACAATAAATTACGAGCTTCAGAGCGTGCAGACGAAACGTGGTCATGTCATCATGTTATTTTTGGAGTCTGCTGTTTGGGAACGCAGTTCTTCAACAAACAACCTTTGACAAGACTTTGCTCAAGCATATTAGAATGACATAACTAGCATTTCAGATGCTGTGCAATGAGATCGGTCCACTGGTTGGTCCAGTTTTATGCTGTCCCATCGCAAAATCACATGATGTGCATTAAGACATTTATTCAGGTAAACGTGTTTCCATCGTAGTTTATGCGCATGTTTTCTTATTATACATTCTTAGTCGAGCGCATAAGTTTTTTATGTGCATTTTTAGAATTTATTCGCATCTTGGCGTTTCCATCCAGCGTGTTTTTTTTTTTATGCGATATCCCAAAATGTGCATAAAAATAGGTGGATGGAAACATATCTATAGTGTCCCATGATCCTTCAGAAATCATTCTAATATGCCGATTTGCTGCTTAAGAAACATTTCTGATTATTATCAATGTTGAAAACAGTTGTGCTGCCTCATATTTTTGTGCAAACCGTGAGACATTTTATTTTCCAGGATTCTTTGATGAATAAAAAATTCAAATGAACAGCATTTATTTGAAATCGAAATCTTTTGTAAGATTAGAAATGTCATTACTGTCATTTTTCAACAATTTAATGCATCCTTGCTGAATAAAAGTTCTAATTTCTTTAAAAAACTTACTGGCCCCAAACTTTTGATTGGTAGTATGCAGGGCTGTACAGTGCGACATATATGTCGCACGTGCTATGAAAAAACTGGTTTGTGCGATGAATAAATTTACCACTGTAGCACAGCGATACAGTTTTGCATGTTCATTACACAGCCGCTTAATAGTGTGAAGTGATTTCGTTGTGCTTGTTTATGTTATCTATGAAGACAATAAATGGGATCTGACGCTTTGTATTTGACTGCACAGAGCGCTGGCAGCTCCAGCAGTTGGTTTTGGCAGAATAAAAACCAGAAATCGCCACATGTCGGAACATATTGGTGAAATGACAGATAAATACAGTATAAGCGATATTATCATCTAAAGGGAGTGTACACTGGTTTCTGCTCTGCAGGTTCTCACTGCAGTTGCCATGAACTCCAAAGCTATGTCTGAATCCACTAACATGCATTAAACACACCTCGATCTGCTCTCCTGTACCTGTCACTGTGTAAATCACTGCAGTATCAGAGACGAAACACACCTGTCTAACTCAAATAAAACACAACATAAAGCTTAAGCTCTCAGCCAAACACCATCAGTCATTCAGAGAGGCATAACAAACCATCAATATAGAGACTAAGCTCAATGTGTGCTGGAAAGTGGGCCAGGCTGAGGATCTGAGACCACACTGAAAATGTAGGAGGTTTTTCATTTATAAACAACTGCGAAAGATGAATCCTTTTTATTCTCACTGCGAGATCGCAACACGCAGGGCTAGAGTCAAATAAAAAAAGAAACCCAAAGCTGATCTTACGTCCGTTTCGCTCTCTACATGCAGGTTTTTTGAAGTCCATAATAAAGTGTTTTAATCTTAAACACTGATTGTTGAAACTTCTGAATGTTCATTTGTACAAGTAACATTAGCTGAGACAAACTTCAAGAAGTTGATGCAAACTAAAGAAACTTTTGCAGCAACAAAGTGTAAAACGTGCAAACTTTTTTTTTTTTAACTATAGCCATGCTAAATGAACATTAATGTATGTTAAGGACTAAATCATGGTCACCTACAACAGCAGTCAGCTATCACTAGTTCAGTAGTCCAGTTATCAGTAGGTCAGTGGCACAACAACACCGACCGTGTGTGTAAAAACTCAAATGAACGAGTCTTATTTACCATCTTGACGACTGAATCGCGGCTACTGAGTTTTCATCCTAAAATCTGTGCCTCCAGCAGAGAAATATTCCCAGTTTAGTTCTGCATTGGTAATGGCAGCATTCCCATGATAGTCTCACATCCAGAGGTGCATCCATGGTGTCCGGTTGGAGACGGCTGGTAGATTTGGACTATAGTGGATCAGATCCATTGTTTAGCAAGGTATTGCAAGTTTGTACAAGAGTACGACGTCTGCTGAGAAATGTAGTGTCAAGTGGTCTGTCGTCGGCTGACTGCGCCGTTTTGTCTCGACTGTAAAGTGCTTGAGAGAGAGAGAGAGAGCAAGTAAAGGGTCGGAGAAGAGGAGGAGGAGGAGGAGGAGGAGGAGGAGGTCTTTCTTTCGGAGGAAATCCCCCTGAAGCAAAAAAAGTTAACGTACAGCCCTGGTATGTCATCACTTAATCTCAGAGCTCATTGTATGTCTGTTGTGAAGCATTTATGTTATCTATGAAGACAATAAATGGGATCTGACGCTTTGTATTTGACTGCACAGAGCGCTGGCAGCTCCAGCAGTTGGTTTTGGCAGAATAAAAACCAGAAATCGCCACATGTCGGAACATATTGGTGAAATGACAGATAAATACAGTATAAGCGATATTATCATCTAAAGGGAGTGTA